CACACACACACACACACACACACACACACACACACACACACACAGTAAAAGTGAGCGAGAGAGAGGAACTTATATAAATTTCGCATACGGATTTTTTCTTAACATTTAAAGATTTTACTTATTTGTCTCGTGTACATGTTCCTGTGCTTGTGTATGTGTGCGAGCATGTGTGTGCATGTGTGTGACAAAGGTTGACACTGGATATTGTCCTCCCTTCTCCAGCTTAGTTTTTGAGACAGGGACTCACTGCACTGGCAGCTGTGGTTAAGCACCAGGGACTCGCCTGTCTCTGCCTCCCTGGCACTGGAATTATAGTCATACCACTGTGCTGCTTCTTGTTTTGTTGCTGCTGTTTCTCATGAGTTCTGAGAGGATCAAAGGCTCTCAAACTTGCCTGGCAAGGGCTTTACCAACTGAGGCATCTCCCCAGTGCTATTTATTAATTTTTGAGAAGTTGGATTTTTTCGGGGCCAGGGGGGCGGGGTTGGACAGAGTCTCATGTATCTATTCCAGGCTGGCTTCGAATTCATTACACAGCGGAGGACGATGACTTCCAGCTTCCTGTCTGGCTTATGTAGTGCTGGGGATCAAACCCAAATTTTCATGCATGATAGGCAAGCACTCTGCCAACTGAGGTACCTTCCAGTCCTTTCCTTAACATTTTTAAAAATTATTTTTATTTTTTATGTGTATGAGTGTATTGCCTGCATGTATGTGAGTGCACCCGTGTTGTGCAATGCCGCAGAAGTCAGAAGAGGGATTTGGATTCCCCTGGAACTGGAGTTAAGGACGGTTCGTAGCCGCCATGTGGGTGCTGGGACTCGAGCCCGGGTCCTCTGCAAGAGCAGTCAGTGCTCTTAACTGCTGAGCCATCTCTCCAGTCCTTCTTAACATTTTAATGTAAGCATGTTCCCACATAATTTAATACTCATTGAAACACAGACACAGGCACACATACTCACACACACATTTTTATATACAGCCCCAGGATGGCCTGAACTTCTGGTCCCCCTTCCTCTCTCTCAGGAATGTTGGGATTACTGGTATGTACCACATCTTCAACTTTAAAATAAAGTCATGTTTATAGTTTTTCCATACCATACCATACTTCTCAAAATTATTTTGTTGACTCAGAACACATAGATACAAACAGAACCAGAGAAAATATAAGGAAGGATAAGCAGAAAAGAATTTATCCAGTAAGAGATGAACTTAGTCAATTTAAAACAAAATTAATTTTATTTTAGTTTATGTGTAGGAGTGTTTTGCCTGAGTGGAAGTGAACCCATGTCATGCAGTGTCTATGGGGGCCAGAAGAGGGCATCAGATACCCTGGAACTGGAGTTAGGGATAAAATTGCCATGTGAGTGCTGGGAACTGAACCCAGGTCCTCTGCAAGAGCAGCCAGTGCTCTTAACTGCTGAGCCATCTCTCCAGTCCCGAATTTATTCAATCTTTACCACTGTTTTTGCTTTTTTTTTTTCTCGTCTTTTTGAGACAGGGTCTCCCTGTAGCCCCAATTGACCCAAGATACACTGTTTAGACCAGGCTGACTTCAGTCTCGCAGAGATCTGCCTGCCACTGCTTTCCAAGTTCCAGGATTAAAGTGGTGAGTTATCATGCCCAACTTACCACTTGTTTTTAAAATGACCTAAAATGAGGTATATTTTACTTTATAATTTAAAAAATTGCCAATTTATCATAAAACAGATTTGGATTAACAGGAAATTTCAAAATAGTGCAGTGAAGTCTATGTACTCCCCCACCCCAGTTTCTTCCAGTGATCACATATCACATGATTGTAACATATTATTAAGGCCAGGGAACAGACACTGTGTATAGTTCAATGATATTTTGCCATTCATGTAGCCTTGAGGAGCCCTGGCCACAATCAAGATGTAAATCACTACTAAGCTCCTCCTGACCCTGTATTAATCAAGCCTCCAACCATCCCTAATCCCAGGAAACCACAATCAGTTTTCTCACTTGATTTTATCACAACAGAGATTTTATATAAGTAGGTCATACAGTGCACACACACATATATCACTTTTTGAGACTGGACTTTTCTACTTAGCTGAACCCCCTTGAGGTCTAGGATGAGGGTGGGCATGTGCTTTAAGGTTGTGCAGTATTCCTTCATTTAGATGCTATCAGGCAATGGCCCTGTGGACTTGCCTGTCTTCAAGAATACGGACTCTTGAGAGGGTGCTTCTATTTAATTTTGGCCTCTCCCGCTTCCTGAGTGTCTGACTTCGGGATAGCTCCTTAACACGTTTCTTAGTTTCCTGGGGTGTTAAATAGGGACAATAAGGTGGGTTATCAAATGCCTCATTGGAGTGTCAAAATCCACATAACCTGTAGATCAGTGTCTGGCACCTAGAGATTGTTCAATAAATAAAAGTAAGTGTTATTACAGGTACTGGACTTTACTCAGTAAGCATCTATTTAGCTTGTTTTTAATTTTGTACTATTGTAATTGACTTCTGAATGTGTCAGCGTATATAATGTTTCTCACAATTTTAAACACGTCTAGAGAGCTGACCATTGGGCCACAAATGTGTACTTTTGTACTTGACATCAATCACTAGCAATGTTTTAAAATTCTCAAGCTGGGCGTGGTAGCACACACCTTTAATTCCAGCACTTGGGAGGAAAGGCAGGCCGATCTCTGTGACATCGAGGCCAGTCTGGTCTACATAGCGAGTTCTAGGCCAACTGTGACTACAGGCGACCCTGTCTCGAAAAAACCAAACCAAACCAAACAAAAGAAAAAAAAAAAAACCCTTAAGATTCCTTATTATATGGGCTGGAGAGATGGCTCAGCAGTTAAGAGCACTGGCTGCTCTTACAGAGGATCCAGTTTCCGTTCTCAGCGCCCACAAGGTAGCTAACAACTATCTATAACTCCACTTCCAGGGGATCTGATACCTTCTTCTGACCTCGGTGGACATTACACGACACGAGTGCACTTACATGCAGGCAAAACCGACTCATACACATAAACTAAAAATAATAAAGTATATTTAAAAAGGGACTTACGATTTTCCTTTATGGGGAGAGTGCTGTGCTGAGTCCCTTTTGTATACTCTCAGTCTACAAGACAACCATGAACAGGGATTTTTAGTTTCCACTGCTGATACGGCTACCGAGGACCCAGGAAGTTGAAGAACTCAGTTACCATTCTCTTCCCTACAGCCCACTGTCTCCACTGCCATTTTAATATTGTCTACGTTTTGTTAATGTTCCTTCTGTGATCGTCATTTCTAGAGTAAGACCACTAGAGGGCAGTGCAAACTTTGATAATGTTTTAATTTTAATGTGCCTGTAAAAAGCAAAAAAAAGGGAAAGGAAAAGGGGGTGATAGAGACAGAAAGATATGAAGAGAGATGATAGAGGAGAGAGAGAATGAGAGACAGAGAGAGAGAATGATATTCAATAATTGTTGAATGAATGGGTGGGTGTATGAATGAACGCTCCAAGTCTCAGTAACTAGACATTGCTCATCACTTCAACAAGCCGTTTACTCTGGAGATTTTATTAATTCTTTGGAAATTTCGTATAATGTATTTTGAATGATATTTACCCCAATTTCTCTCCCTATCTCCTCCTAAATCTTCCCACCTTCCACCTTCCCACCTCCCACCTTCTCCCAACTTCGTGTCTTTTTTTTTTTTTTTCTTTTAAATAACTGTCAGCCCCAACTTATACTGTCTATGAAGACTCCTGGGTTTGGGGTCATCCTCTAGAACATGGTTGACTTGCCAGGGGCTTCACCTTTGAAGAAAATTGACTCCTTCCCCCAGAAGCCATGAACCATCAAGAGCTCCTCATTTAGGGGTGGGGACTCATGACACCTCCCTTCCATGTTAGGTTGACTGACTTGATCTTGTGTGGGTCTCATGCAGACAACAACACTGCTGTGAGTTCGTGAATGCAGTGAGTGGTCCTGCCATGTCTAGAAGACACTGTTTCCCCCTGGTTCTCCCTGACCTCTGGCTCTTTCAGTTCTCTCTCTCTCTCTCTCTCTCTCTCTCTCTCTCTCTCTCTCTCTCTCTCCTGTGTAGTCATTGACCCTTGGCATGTGTGTGTGTTTGTGTGTGTTGAGAGTATCTGTGTTAACCTCCATGCATTGTACAAAGACCCTTCTCTAATGAGAACTGAGAGCGCCACTAATCTTTCTTCATGGAGATACAAATTGAGAGGGCAGTTTGATGC